GACCAATTTGGGAAAAATAACTTAGTTGGTAACTATATGCACTCATTGAGAACATGTGATTCCAGGGCTTAATACATGCAATTGAGGATCTATTTCCAGATGCTGAGCATAGAACATGTGCTAGACACAAATATGCCAACTTTCGAAAGAATAATGGAGGCAAAGAATTGAAGGTAGCATTCTTGAGATGTGTTAAGGCTAACACTGAACATGACTTCAACAGGGCATTAACTGAGTTTGGGCGTATTAAACCGAGTGCAGTCCCTGCCATCATGAGCACACACCCTAGGTTTTGGTCAAAGGCTTTCTTCAAAGAAGATAGTAAATGCAATGTTGTCGATAACAACATGTGCGAGGTTTTTAATGGTTTAATACTGGAAGCAAGGCACAAGGTCTTATTCTCTATGTTGGAAGACTTACGGGCAATGTGTGGCCGGAGGACGGTGGCTAGGAGGGAATATGGTAATAGGAAATTTGTTGGGAATTTTGGTCCCAAAATTTGGGCAAAAACTGTTGCTGCCCGAGAAGGTAGCAAGAGATGCAGACTTTTATGGCCTGGTGGTGACGGGTATGAAGTTGATGATAATGGGGAAGCAACTTATATTGTAAATGTGGAGAGAAAGACATGCACTTGCAGAGTTTGGAATATGACTAGAATACCATGTAGGCATGCAGTTACTGTGATCAACCATAGACAAGAGAATGATGAGGACTATGTAGCACACTGCTATAGCAAGCACATGTTCATGGCAAGTTATGAATATGAAGTCCCAGTCATAGAAGGAATTAACCAATGGAAGGAAACTAAAATGCCACCTATGCAACCACCAAATCCAAGAAAGATGCCTGGCAAGCCAAAGAAGAAACGACAGCTAGAAGAATGGGAGGGGAAAACATCTGTTGGCAGAAAAGGGAGGTTGATGACTTGTCAAAAATGCTTCAAAAGGGGGCACAACTCCAGGTCATGTAAAGGAGTTCCACCAAACATTGTAAGTTAAATTTGTAATTAATTATTGTCAATTCTATATGTGTTTTATACATTATTTTCATATGTATGTATTCTGTATTTGTAGCAAGAACAAAATGAGGATCAAGCAACTCCCCAAGAAGAGCAGCCTCAAGGTGTTGATGAAAACATTGGAGCTAATGTGGAAAACCCAATGAGCCAAGTGGAGGATCCTCTTAGTCAAGTTCTTAATGAAACACCTACTCCAAATAGATTCAGGCAAACAGCAAAAAGAAAACAGGAGGTTGTAAGGTTCTAAACTAATCAATTTTTCTTTTTATGGTATGGTATGCTAGATATACTAACAAATGCACATTGATTCTTTAGTGTGAAGGAATCTCAAAAAATGCACAGCCATGGAAGAGGGCTAAAAAGGACTGTGCAACAACAACCACAGGCCCCTCCCAATCACAAGCAGCAACTACTTCAGTCGCCAAAGATAAAGGGAAACAACCAAAGAAGCCACGACAGCCAAAGAAGAAACCCTGAATGGCTGCAAATGCATCAAAGTGAGATTAATGAAGATTGATTTTTTGGTATTTTGTTAGGTTGAATATG